TATAGTCCAAAAGTGCTAATGGGTGTTACAGAATGATTCTTTCAATTAAGTTCTTTCAATAGCCAGGAAACGTATTGCTAAACGGGATATGGCTCAAACCAAGAGTTGTCTGGAGGATCTTAGAGAAGATGCAGATGTCATAACAAGATAGACCCTCCTTTGTAGCAATCAAGGAAGAACATAAATTCCTTCTCTGTGTCTACCCACAGAGATTACATGGCTGTCAACCATAAAAAACAGAAATGCCAGAGACAGGGCAGAACAAACACAGTATGAGCCAAAGTAGGTTAAATCACCTAAATGAAGTCATTGAAAGAAGGAAAAGAACAAAGTTAAAACTAGGGTTCATGTACTGGTGATCTATTTCCTCCAGTACATGATTAACTTAGATGGTCTAGGATCTTCAGAACTGCTAAAAGAAAAAATTAGACACTAATGACTGAGTGATGAGTAAAAGTTTTATTGCCATGCTGCAAACTCAGTCCAGAATCTAGAAAATCTCTCAGAGAAAATGTTTTGAGGGGACGAAAAAGGACAGATATTTTAAAGTCAAACTGACTCTGTACCTTATTAGAAAAGCAACATCTCTGAATTTGCTTGTTGGTGATGTCTAAATGTGTCAACTGGATAGTTGGAAGTGACACTGAATAAAAAACAAATTCAATTTATAAGGAGAGACTTTATTCATAAGGATTAATTTGAGGAATAAGGGCTTCTTGCAATGGTGGAAGGAGGACTGTTGCAACAGGATAAAGAGTTTGATCAACAAGTGTTTCATAAGTTAGGCATAAAGAGCTATTCTTATATTTACAAGGGTAAGCAAGCTAGAACCAAATGTAGATAAGTGGGATGAAAGTGAGGTGTGATCAAATAGTGGAGCAGATAATACTTTGTAATGAGGCCAGCCTGTTTTCAGAAGGCCTCTTAACAAGATGCTTTCCAAGTAGATCAGGTAGAGAGTAGGCTAGGATCTGCAGAGGAAAAAGGAGTTACACCAATGTGGAATTAACAAGTATTTTGTGTCAACTGATCAGTGGGATCAAGAATTTCAGTTAACTATTTATGCAGCAAAGAATAGGAATTTAGAAGGCCCTTGTCTAACCTTAATCATAGACAAGCAAGGAAGACTTTCTGAGTCTTATTAAAGTTATGTGGAGAACGTTGTTCTTTGTGGTAAATCGTTTTTTTTTTTTTTTTTTAACGTAATAGTTGGGGGAATTCTTAAAGCATTACTCTTTTCAGAGCCTCAGGGTTACAGTCACCACTAGTGTGTCAGTTTGTTGTACAAGGTAGCTTGTGTGTTGCTGTGATGCTGGAAGTCATGGCAATGGTATTTTAAATACAAGCAGGGCTACCCATGGAGGACAGACTACAGCAGAGATTTCAGACTAAGACAGACTGGGAAGAAGGAGAAGCAGATCATTTTTGAATGGTTAGCCACTGTAAACCTTATGAATAACAGTGGAACATTGTCAAATATACTGCTAGAAAATGAGCCCCTCAGGTTGGAAGGCATTCAAAATTCTACTGGGGAAGAGCTGCCTCTTCAAGGTAGAGTAGATCTTAATGACCGAATGGGGCAAAGCTTTCAGGACCTTCATTTGCTGATGAGGTACAACTCAAAATGAAGAGAAACAACTATAAACATCCATTAATAATCAGAACATTAAATGTTTGAAGTATTAATCTAGGAAAACTGGAAGTCATCTAAAATGAAATGCAACTCATAAAGATCAATATCCTCGGCATTAGTGAACAAAAATAGACTGGTATTGGCCACTTTGAATCAGATAATCATATGGTTTACTATGCTGGAAATGACAAATTCAAGAGGAATGGCCTCACACTCATCATCAAAAAGAACATTTCTAAATCTATCTTGAAGCACAATGATGTCTGTTATAAGATAATATCCATACACCTACAAGAAAGACTAATACTGCTGTTATTCAAATTTATGCACCAACCATTAAAGCCAGCAATGATGAGATTGCAGAATTCTATCAACATCTTCAGTCTGAAATTGATCAAACATGCAATCGAGATGTACTGGTAATTGGAATGCAAAAATAGGGAAACAAAAGGATGGATCACTAATTAGAAAATATAGCCTTGGTAACAGAAATGAAGCTAGATCTTGCATGAGAGAATTTTCCAAGTTCAATGATTTATTCATTGAAAATTCCTTGTCAACAACATAAAAGGTGACAATACACATGGACCATACCAGATAGAATAAAAAGAAATCAAACTGATTTCAACTGTTTGAGGAAAATCTGGAAAACCTCAATAGTGGTCTGTAAGAGTCTTTAAAGTTGGAGAACTGTATCAGACAAAACAAAGATATTTTGTACTTATGTTTGTACAATATATCATAGATTTTTAAAGTTGTAAAGTTTCAGCCATACCTTAAGGAGCTTAAATCAGTCTGAGGGTCAAGTTCCTATACGAAATTCCATATTCCCATGGAATAGTCCCACCAGAAATTTCCATGGATGATCACACTACACAAGGGGCTTAAGAAAGTTCATGGAAACATGCCATTTATCTTTTAGTTTTCCACAAGTTTCTTGAAACTCTGTCATATAATCACAATGAGCAGCATGAAGATAAAATCTTACACAAAATTAGAAAATCAGACACAAAATAACCAATATATACAGTTAAGCACCTGACTGTTAAGGTTGGTGGATCGAAGCCACCCAGTGGCTCTGTAGAAGGAAGACCTGCTGGTAAATTTCTATAAAAATCATAGCCAAGAAAACCCTGTGGGATAGTTCTACTCTGTCACATGGATTGCTAGGAGTTGGAATTGATTCAATGGTGCCTAACAACAATGGCTAGGTTAATACAAGGTGGCAACATGGCAAACTGATGGCATTGATAATACTTAGCATAAAAAATAGTGCAGCAAATATCCTTTTTTCACACTTCCACTTAAAATGCCCACAATTTTCATTATGTCTTTCTAAATACAGGGCTGCAGAGTGACTTATATGATGTTTCCAAAGCTGTTGCCAATTCAAAGAAGTTGAATGTAAAGTTGACTTCCTCCCGGCCTGTTCATTTTGCTCCTGTTTCAACTCTGCCAGACATCAATTCCTTGTATGCAAATTAATTTTAATTTTTAATTTTTTGCATTTGGGGCAGGCGTTACTGCTATTAATTGCTATTGACATATTGGAATTAACTGCTATTGAAGTATTGGAATTCTTAATGTCATTAAGGAGTGTTTAGGCACCTTGGAGTTGGGCCACTAGGACTAAATTATTAATGTATGTATATATGCTTACTCTTTGCCTCTCTCTAGTGCTTGACTGAACTCCTTGTATAGTGCTGTAGGATCAGCACCAGACTGTGAAACACAAGGTCGGCAGTTTAAACCCACCATCTGCTCCTTGGAAACCCTATACTGGGTCGCTATGAGTCAGAATAGACATGATGGCACTTAACATAAACAATAATGGTTGACTATTTATAACTTTCAAGGAAATCAAATTGGTATCTTTTTCCATAGTTACATATGAACTTGGGAGCTTTGCAATATGCTGTTAAAACAAAAATCATGTTAAATCAATAATAGTAATTGATTTGAAAATTGGGGTAACATTTTGATTGCTGTTGTTGTTATTTAGTGACATTGAGTCAGTCCTGACTCATAGTAACCCTGTATAGGGCTTCCAAGGGGCAGTTGGTGGCTTGAACCACTGACCTTGTGGTTAGTTGTCCAATGCTTACCTTAGTAGACCCCAATATTTTGACCATTGTTGTTAAATGCCATGAAATCATTCTGATTCATAACAACTCTGTATTGAGTTTCCAAGGAGTGACTGATTGGTTTGAACCACTAACCTTCTGGATGGTTGTTAAGTGTATTGAGTCTGTTCTGGCTCATAGTGACCCTGTGTAGGGTTTCGGAGAAGCAGCTGGTGGGTTCGAACAGCCACCCTTGTGGTTTAAACCAACCTTGAGGTCCAGTGCATCTTCCTGCAGTGCCATATTCCAAAAAGGAAAGAACTTCCAAAGAGCAGTGTGCTTATTATATTATAACAGTTTACTCTAAAACACAGTGTCTGGTCTGACCTTGGAATTTTCACTACTTGAAACTGAGGGCACATAGATAATTCTTCACAAGAGCCTAATGTCCAAGGCTAAATGGTATTTAGTCATGTATCTAGACAATTGTTTAACTTAAAGGTAACTTTAGAACCCAATTTCCTCAATGCTCAAGGCACAAAAGAACATCTCAGGCTAATGACCTGTGTAGGTTACCCCATCTTCATGAACCTCAGAAATATGGATTCTACATGAATTAAAACTCTGTTTCTCAACTGGTGCCATTGAAGCAGTTCCAACCCATAGCAACCCTGTATAGGATTTCCCAGGAGCTGCTGGTGATCTTGAACCACTGACCTTGCAGTTCAAACTGACTTTGTAGTCCAATGCATTAACCCACAGTGTCACATCAGGATTCCTGTTTCTCAATACACAGGGGGAAACGAAGATCATTCTTCTTCCGCTCACCTCTTCTGTTATCTTTTACTGTTTTGGTGGGGGGTCATGGGGTGGAGGTGGGGAATAGGATACATAACTGGCTTACATTGAACTCTCATGTGCCAGTCATGAAATGTTTTAACTATGTAATCCATTCAATGCTTACCACACCTCTGTAACATAGTGGGCTATGAGTTGGGCTGCTAACCACAAGGGCAGCATTTATAATCTAGCAGGCACTCCACAGGAGAAAGAGGAGACTTTCTGCTTCCATAACGATTTGCACCCTTGGAAACTCTATACATGGATGCTATGAGTCAGAATCGACTCCACAGCACAATACCACCAACCACCTCCACAACCCTATAAGACAATTCTCATTTTTAACCCAGCTGAAATAACATGCTGGAGAAAAATGTATAATGAGGAAATAATCCCTACAAGTTCCATTCTAGATTAGAGGCCTTGAAGTATTTATTATTATTCACTTAAATTCTTCTTTCCTCTTACTTTGGAAACCCTGCCCTTTAACTATGTATCTTCACTTTTGTTTAGTCTTTCTAAGTCTCAACTTCTAAAAAATTAATACCTACTTTACATGCTTTTTGTTTTGTTTTTGAAAATCATACTTGGAAGTTCCCAACTCAGTGAATGTTCTCTTAATTTCTAGGGCCTGTCTTAGTTATTTAGTGTGGCTGTAACAGAAACAGCATGGTGTGCAGCTTTAACAAACAGAAATGTGCTCCCTCATAGTGTAGGAAGATAGGAGAGCAAATTCAGAGGGCCAGGCCTAGGGGAAGGCTCTGTCTCTGTCGACTCTAGGTGGTTGTCTCTTCAGCTTCAGTTTCTTGGTTCCTTGGAAATCTACAGGTGGCTTGGCGTCTATATTACCCTATCTCTGCTTGCTTAGTTTGTTCCTTTATATTTTATAAGAGATTGACTCAGGACATACTGTACACTAATCCTGTGCCATTAATTTAATAAAGGAAACCCTTTCCTTAATGGGATTATAAACACAGGTATAAACGTTAGGATATATAATTTATGTTTTTGGATTATACAATTCAATCCATAACAGGGAGTATATTGTAGGAATTCTTGAGTGAAACAAAACAAAACATTGAGAACAATGAATATTTTAGATTAAAGTAAAGCAACTGGTCTTTATTTTTAATTATGAAAAAAATTTCAAACACATAAAAGTTGAGAGAAAAGTGAAATGAAACTCTTACTGATAGATAATTAATCTTGTTTCACACAAAATTATCTACTTTTATCAACTCATCAGGCATTATATTATCCTTAAATATTTTACTGTGTATCTCTAAAATATAAAGATATTTTTGTAAAAATAATAACAAGAAAACTATACTAGCAACACTCTTAAAAAAATTTTTTTTTAACTAGAATAACCAGTTAGTATTCAAATTTCTTCAAGTGTCATATTTAAAAAATAATGCTTTGTTTTGAATCAGGATCAAAATAAGGCTCTTACACTACAGTTGGTAAGATGTTTCTTGTCTTTTGATTAAATAGCATTATTTCTTACATTATTTTGTTGTTGAAGAAACCCAGTGTTTTTGTCCCCTGGAGTATCCCACCCTCTGTTTATTGATCATATCTATGAGATATCATTAAAATGTCCCTCTGTCCCTAGTTTAAAAATCACGTTTTGACTTAACTTGATCTTGTCTGCATAGGGAACTTAGAAAATTTGTCTTTAGCACCTAGGTCATATCCCAAATTTGTGGATTCTGTTTTTCATAGCTTGCCCTTCAGCTACAAGGTCACAGTCTGGAACACAACTACTCCTGAAACACTTGTTTTTATTTGCAGTGACATTTTTGCCTGGGGCTTATTTGCCCTGGTTTTAAAGTTCAATTTCAAAAATTGTGTAAGGATCCTATTAAGCCACTTACTGCTGTTATTTATTTATTTTTGTTACCCCTCCTTGGTATTTAGATGACTGACTATTGCCAAAGCTCACAGTACACCTGAAATGTGAACTAAAACCACAGAACAACTGAAAAGATGAAAATACAAGCTGGTACTTTATTAAGATCATAGCCAGTATCACCCTACCTGTCTCGTTTAGTCACAGGAGACAGTTGTTGGCTAGGCTGGGTCACTTGGATGATTTCTCAGTTTGAATCAGTGTGGAAAGAGAAGTAGCTGTTTATAGTCATGTGATTGCAAGCTCCTATTTCTTCTCATGTGATATTTTCTTCTAGAATGGGATCTTTGCCACGAATAACCTACTTGAGTGTTGCTGATGCTGATCTACTCAACCGGACTTGGTCTCGAGGTGGCAATGAACAGTGTCTCCGGTACATCGCCAACCTCATCTCCTGCTTCCCCAGTGTGTGTATCCGTGATGAAAGGGGGAATCCAGTCTCCTGGTCTATCACAGACCAGTTTGCCACCATGTGCCATGGATACACCATGCCAGAGCATCGCAGGAAAGGTTATAGCCGACTGGTGGCCCTCACACTGGCCAGGAAGTTGCAAAGCCGGGGATTTCCCTCTCAGGGGAATGTCCTGGATGACAATACTAAATCTATAAGTCTCCTGAAGAGTATCCATGCTGAATTTTTGCCTTGTCGCTTTCACAGGCTTATTCTTATCCCTGCAACTTTCTCTGCTCAAGTTCACCTTTAGAGAAACTCCATGAAATTTCTTACTTTCTCTAAACATATAATGACACCTTAGTTGCCAGTGTGGGGAGAATTAAAATTGGAATCAGAAGAATCAAGGGTTATTGAAAAGGGCCTGGAGAAGACATGCAGGATTAGCTCTGAGAAGCCTTAACTCTTGGCCTCTCGAGTTTCTCTGCTAAATAACTGTAAGGGTCAGGAGTAGGGGTGATTGACAATAAGGATGAACATCCTCCTTTGG